CCCGGGGCGTCCGGGGGACTCGGCGGCGGTGCCGGGCTCCGCGGAAACCTGCCCCCGCTTCCCGCCCCAGCAGCGCCACGCACACGTCCTGAAGGGCTTCCGAGCTTTTATTATTGGGGTCGTGGAAGGTTCTGACGCTCATTCTGCGCCTCCCATCCCAGGTTGTAAGGGAACCTGGGGGACAACCCTGCCCCATCTCCGGGGTCCGCAGCCATGGAGCGCTGGCAGGGACAGGGGGTGCGAGGCAGGGAAAAGGAAGCTGCAAAGTTTGCATGCGGGCGTCGTGTGGGTTGGCCAGGGAGGGACCAGCCACCACAGTTGGGGCCATGCGTCGAGCAGAGGTCTTCCTGGGGCCAGTTTGGGTAGAGTAGGAACACGGGACTGTGTGGGCCAGGCAGAGACATGGATGATGTTGGGGCGAGGTCAGAAGTCAAGATGGGGGTTCTCCATGTGGCCAGGGAGGGACAGAGCTGGCCTAGGGCCCCAGGTCAAGGTGTGGGGGCGAGGGGACTGGCTGAGCTCAGGGCACCTGGCCTCTGGGGCTTGAAGATGAATGAGTGAGAAAGACAAGTGCCGGTCAGACAGGCCAGTGGCTAGCCGCGCTGGGGCACCACCTCTGGTGTCCGTGGGCTGCTCAGCTGCTGGCCTAGCAGAGGCTGCTGATTTCGCTTTTGCTGCACCCCCACTTGCAGCAGTTGCTGGAGAGGCCGGCTAGGACATCTCGGCTGCCCCTAAGAGCCCCAGAGGTCCCCTGCCAGCTGGGTTGACCACCATAGAGGGCCTGGGGAGATTTGGTGAGGGCCAGCCACTCATTGGAGCCCACAGCTTGGTCCAGCTCGCCTGCCAGGCTGTCTGCATCAGTGTCTGCATCCCAGAAGACGTCCCCTGTAAAAGATGGAGAGAGTTGTGGCTTGGGACTCAGCTGCTACTCTGACAGGAATGTTGGCCACTGACGGTCTCAGCTTCTTCTCTGCTCTTGTGATTCTGCCTTGCGAATCAAGATGTTGATTCCACTCAGTCCTGGGCTGGTGGTGTTCTGGCTCTGCCAACAGTTTCAGTGGGCAGATCGTTCAACCTGACTTAAGCTTGGTTTCCCTGTCATTTATTTCCTCCTACTCTTTATTTATTGAGGCCATGATGTTTAAGAGCAGGCTTTGGGAGATAGCCTCTCCAAGTTATGGTTGTCACCAGGTGAACTTACTTTTCACAGCCTCTGTTTCCTTATCAACCTTGTGGAGGAAATAACTCCTATTTTCTCGAATTGTATATGGAGTAGAAGACTTAATACCAATAAAAACTTACAACAATATTGGGCACATGATAAGCACTCAAAATAGCACTGATTGTTGACTGAGCACTTAGCTGTGTGCCAGACGACGGTTGTAAGTGCGTTTATGGGTTTTTCCTCTCGATGGCAACCACATGAGGTGGGTGTGCTGCATTGTCACCCCCACTTTTCAGAGGCAAGGAGAAATGACTTGCACGAGAACACACAGCTATTAAGTCATAAAACCACTAAGTGAGCCCAGTCCCTGTGCATCCTGGGTCCACACACATATCTGTCCATCCGTCCATCATCCATGCGTCCATCCACGCCCCTCCTCCCCATCACCTCCACCCTTCACTCTTATCTGCCTTGATTGAATCGCACCATTTAACCATTCGGCAAGATTCCCGGATTGGATCTCTGGAGGGGAATCGGGATGCTGTGGGGGGGGATGTCGGGTCACCTGCTGGTCAGCAGAATCCAGCCACCTACACACCCATGGCTCACCCTACCTGCTCGAGTGGACCGGAAAGTGTCTCGATCTTCAGGACTTTGTGGCCCCCCTCACAGCCCTGCTGAGCATGGGCTGGGCACTCGGAAGGAACTCAGGAAGTAGCCTCTGGGGAGGCTGGCTGCCCCCTTCCCTGCCCGGTGGCTCTGCCAATCCCTGACCCCTGGCCGCTGCTTCCAGGCTGGGCAGGGGCGCCCAGATGAACGTGGCAGGGAAGGGGTCTGACTCCTGGGGCCTCTCATCCCAGCGTCTCGCTCCCGGGCTCCCTGGACCCATGGGGCCCTCTGTTCCCTCCTCCTCCTGTTCCCCCCGGCCTCACCCATAGCTTCGGGGGCCAGGAGGCCTGACCGCCTCCACCGGGAGCCTCCGCAGGTGAAGATGACCGCCCGGATGAATTCACGGCCACAAAGCTTCACCCCGTAGGGCGCTGCCCGGGCCTCGGCCACCAGCCACAGCTGCCCGGCCAGCACCACCAGGGCCAGCAGCAGCAGCAGCGTGAACTTGGCCATGCTGAGCACACGACGCCTCGGATGCCCGCGTGGGTCAGCGCCTCCGCTGCCTCCTGGCCCCCATTTATACACCGCGGCCCCCCTCCCTGCCTGGAGGAGGCTGGGTGACCTCCTTTATCTCCCCCAGCAGAGGGAAGGCAGCAGGGCCCCCAAGGCGACCTTTCCCGCTTGCCCCACCGAGTGATAACCTTTTGCCAGGGACAGAGTGATGTGGCTGAGCTCGCTGTCATCTTCAACAGAGACAAGAGCGCTTTTCTTTTCTTTTCTTTTGTGGTGCTGGAGATGGAGCCCAGGGTGTCTGTGTGCCAGGCGAGTGCTTTACCACAAAGCTATGTCCCCAGCCCTGTAATGACATCTTTGAACTTGAGCAAACCTCAGCACATGGGGCTGGGGCACAGCTCGGGGGCGAGCGCCTGCCTAGCGTGCACGAGGCCCTGGGTTCCACCCTCAGCCCTGCCAAACAAAACACCCCAAAGCAACCAGAGATCACCGAGGCCCAGGGACATCCAGCCACCATGCGCCAAATACACAGAACACCCACTTCACCATTGGAACCCACTGTCAGTGTGCAGCGCAGTGGCACCGAGTGTATCCACACCACTGTGCATGTCACCAGAGCCTGTCACGGGACAAAACCATGGCACTCGACAAGGGGATTTATTCAGCCACATAAAAAAAAAACAGTTGTCCCTCTGGACCCCTGAATTCAGCCAACTGTGGGAAAATAACCTTAGAAAATATTGCATCGGGTGGGCACCCAGCCATACCCCCGCTGCTCAGGGAGCTAGGCTGAGGCAGGAGGATCACAAGTTTGAGGCCAACCTCAGCAACCCAGTGAGACCTTGTCTCAAAATAATGAAACAGAGGACTGGGCTGCAGCTCGACGCTAAAGTGTTTACCTGGTGGGCTCTGGGATTTTTTTTGGGGGGGGCGGTTCTGGGGATTGAACTGGGGACACTCGACCACTGAGCCACACCCCCAGCTCTATTTTGTATTTTATTTAGAGACAGGGGCTCACCGAGTTGCTTAGCGCCTCACTGTTGCTGAGGCTGGCTCTGAACTCACAATCCTCCTGCCTCGGCCTCCAGAGCTGCTGGGGTGACAGGCGTGCACCACTGTGCCCAGCTGGGCCCTGGGTCCGATCCCAACCACACACACACACACACACACACACACACACACACCCTGCATTTGTACTGAACAACAGACTTTTTCTTGTCACTAGCTCTAGTATGCGGTACAACAATCACGCGCATAGCATTCACATGGTATTTGGCATCCTAAGTAATTCACGGAGGTTTTTGAATCTGCGGGAGGGTGTGTGGGGGCTCTGGGGGAACCCTGCACCCTTTTAGAGCAGGGACTTGAACGCCCGTGGATTGTGGTGTCTGCGGACGTCCCTCAGGGGCCTCTGTTCTGAGCCGGGCTACACGGACCGACCTCAAAACCCACGCTGAGCGAGAGACGCTGGACACAAAGGGCCACACATGGCAGGAGTCCATTTATAGAAAGGACCAGAACAGGCCAAGCCAGGGACAGAAAGAGGGCCACGGTGGGGGGACTAGGGAGTGACCCCTAACGGCTCTGGGGCCTCTTGAGGGGACGATGACAATGTTTGGGATCCAGACAGAGGGGTGGCCGAAGAACCCGCGTGTGGACTGAGGACAGCTGAGCTGCACAGGTAGGTGGCCATCCTGGGCCAGGGGTGGGACTCGGTGGTAGAGCGGGTGCGTAGCCTGTGCAAGGGCCCACCCCCAGCCCTCTACACACAGAGTTTATTTTATGTCACATCAGTTTTATCTCAATCTAAAACCTGAGGACAAAAGGAGGCGTTCCGGTGACAGACAGGCCTGAGTGGACTCCCTGCTCTGCCCGTTTCCCGCTGTGTGAGCTTGGGAATGTCAGTTCACCTCTCTGTGCCTCGGGCTCCTGGTCTGTACAATAGGAAAGGCTCCACGGGAGCATCAGATCCTCCCAAGGCTCCTGGGCATCGGTCCCTCTGGGTGGACTTTCTCCTCGTGTCCTTTCTCCATGACCAGTTCCTGGCCTGGGTTGCCCTGTGTGGGTGTTGACTGTTCTGCTTCTAAAGGGCTGAGGAATAACCCGCTCTTACCCGCTGCCTTTCCTCGGGGTGACTCCTTGGGGACGCGCCCTTGGGCCCTTTCCTCAGAGCTGATGACTGGCCCCGAGGCTGGGGCGGGACACACTGGGGAGATATTTGCTGACTGACTTAACTGATGAAGCTGGATGGACTCTCACATAGAATCAGAAATTTGGGCTCCGTGGGGCTGGTTTTGAATCCTCCTTCCTGTGTGACCTTGGACAAAGCCACACACCTCTCTGAGTTCAGGGGAAGAGGGAGATAAGAAGTGCACCCAGCAGGCTGTTGGGTAGCTTGTGAAACTGTATCAAGGGCACAGCGTCCTAGGCAGCTCCAGGGAGGTGTGGTGGGTTGAATGGGGATCATCGGTCCCCACCCTCCCTCCAGGGCCCTCACCTGCAAGGCCAGGGCTCTAGCACCAGCAATATCCCAGCCCCAGTGTGACGTCATTGGAGAAAAGAATCCTTGCAGATGAATCATGACCTTAAGGTGGCCCATCCGGGATTGCCTGGTGGGTCCTAAATCCAACGACAAGTGTCCTTAAAGAGACAGAGAGGAGCTGGGTGTGGTGGCACAAGCCTGTAATCTCAGTGGCTCAGGAGGCTGAGGCTGGAGGATCATGAATTCAAAGCCAGCCTCAGCAATTTAGCGAGGCCCTAAGCAGTTTTGCAAGACGCTGTCTCTAAATAAAACACAAAAAAGGGCTGGGGATGTTGCTCAGGGGTTAAGCCCCCCTGGGTTCAATGCCTGGTGTGGGGGGTGGGGGGGTGCACAAGGCCTGGGTTTCATCCCAGCACTGAAAACAAAAATGATACAAATCAATAAATAAAATAAAATGATTTTGCTTTAAGTTCAGGAGCTGGATAGTAGAGATGTTTACACCAATGTGAAGACCCTTAATGCCACTTAACTGTATGCTTAAGAGTGTTTAAAATGATACATTTTATGTATATTTTACCACAATAAAAAAGCGTTAAACATCATAAAAATTGTTAAACATGTTACTTTGTGTGTGTACGGTCCTGAGGATCATATCCAGAAGCACCATTCTTCTGAGCTCCCCAACCTCCTGCCAGCCCTTTTTATTTTGTTTTGAGACAAATTTCCTCTAAGTTGCTGAGGCTGGCCTCAAACTCGTAGTCCTCCTGCCTCAGCCTCCTGAGTATCTGGGATTACAGGCATGTACCACTCCCCCCTCCCCAACTGAATATGTTACTTTTGACTTAAAAAGTAGAGGGGAGGGGAATAAAGTCCTGTATTCACGTTTTTTTTAAAATTTTTTTTAAGGGCTGGGGATGTGGCTCAAGCGGTAGCGCGCTCGCCTGGCATGCGTGCGGCCTGGGTTCGATCCTCAGCACCACATACAAACGAAGATGTTGTGTACGCTGAATACTAAAAAATAAATATTAAAATTCTCTCTCTCTCTCTCCCTCCCTCTCTCTCTCTCACTCTCTCTTTAAAAAAAAAAAATTTAATATTTATTTTTTAGTTCTCGGCGGACACAACATCTTTGTTGGTATGTGGTGCTGAGGATCGAACCCGGGCCGCACGCATGCCAGGCAAGCGCGCTACCGCTTGAGCCACATCCCCAGCCCCTGTATTCACATTTTAAAAATATTTTTTAGATATTGATGAACCTTTATTTCATTCACTTATACGTGGTGCTGAGAGTGGAACCCACTAGTGCCTCACACATGCCAGGCAAGTGCTCTGCCACTGAGCCACAGCCCCAGCTGCAGAGTTTCCATTTAAAATGATAAATAAATAAATAAAATAAGGGCTGGGGGTGTGTGAGCACTGGGTCCCGCGTCTGACTCGCCTCCCTGAGCACAGTGTTGTTAGAATTCATCTGTGGGAGCTGGGAGCAGCGGCGCACGCCTGTCATCCCAGTGGCTCAGGAGGCTGAGGCAGGAGGATCAAGAGTTCAAAGCCAGCCTCAACAATTTAGTGAGGCCCTGTCTCTAAATAAAATACAACAACAACAACAACAAATCGTCCGTGTGGTGGCATATGCCAGGAATTCAGTGAAAGGCAGCCTTCTTCACAAGTCCCCCGCACCCGCTGCCCCATCCGGACTATCTTTGCGCATCCTCGTTGATTTTTTTTGCAGTGGCGGTCATCCTCCACGCGGATGCCCATAGTTGATGTCACTCTGGGAGACATTTCTTCCCCACCCATTTCCGCAATCAGGAGTTTGTGCAAACATCATTTCACACACATGCAAGCGGATCTGTGCATAAATTCTCCAAAGTGGGATTTCTGACTCAGAGATTGTGCCCATTTACGATTTTTTTGCATATATTGATGGGTAAGAGTTGTTCCTTCTGCCCTTAATGGGTTCGTACCAAACTTTGGATTTTCACCAACACGCAAGTGAAAAATAGGATCTCAGAGGAGAGAAAATTGGCCTTTCTTTTATCAAGAGCTGGGCAGAGCAGAGCTCCATGTGTTTAGAGCTGTTTCTGGCTTTCTCTTTACTCTCTAGGTACCTCTCCTGGCCATGATTCTTTTGGGTGGTAGATCTTTTTCTTCTTGATTTCTAGGAGTTCTTTGCATATTAACTGATGATGATGAAATGAGTTAGAAATATTTTTTTTTCCGTTTGCCATTTCTCCAAACTTCTTTTAAAATGACCGTTAACATTCACTGAGGACTTATACATGCTCAATTTTGAACCAGGTGATTTATGCATGTGCTATATCATTGCCACCCGCTGGCAGGAGTTATCATCTCAAAATACATGCATCGTGGAAAAATAAGGACATCTTCCTACATAAAACTGCAATGCCATTACCTTAACAAATTGTGCCTCTCTTACCAGGTACATGCTCACATTTCCCTGGTTCTCTGAAATTCTTTTTCTTCTTTCCTGTTTTCTGGCCTGTACTGGGGATGGATCCCAGGGCCTTACCCA